TGGTGGTTTTTTCTATCACAGTATTTCCATTCTGAGTGAATGTGAGCAATCTGATAAGCTTGAAAGTACAAAGCCTCAGAACTGAAGCCCCAGGTCCCTGGATGTGCTTGTGAGTGCTCTAGCAGCAGATATGTATGGGAGCAGCCTGGCCCAGGGTCCAGCCATGGGGAAACTGCTCTCCTTCTGTGTGGGGACATGTGCCTGTGGCTGGATTCAGTGCCAGAGCCTCCTGGGAGTGGGTATGAGAGATTGCTCCTAAAGGAAGAATCACCAAGGCAGTAATGAGAGCTGGTGATTGAATCCAGGGGATCAAATGGGGACGCACCCCAAGCCCTGCACTCACCTTTAGAGCTGTGTTTGCCAAAGGAATGCACATACTAGGATTAGGCTTCTTCATCTTCTTCACTCTGAAATGCTGCTAACACAGCCACTTCAAAACACTTGAGTAAACTCCTTTAATAAGCTCTTTGTAGAGTGGGGTCTCCAAGCTGAACAGCTCTCTGACTTCTAGAGGTGACAGGCAGCAATGGTCTGTCTGCATTTCAGGGCTTTATTGCTGGGGGTTTAGGCAGATTTCACAGACCTTACATTGGGTCTGTGTATGGGAGAGCTACAAGTTCCATTTAGAGTATCTTTCCTTAAAACAACAGGAGAGAAGTTGTTTTCCTGTCTGAGGTATCAGTGTGAGATGCATACTTTAGATTTTTTAATCCTTTTTTATTAGCTGTTATTAGTTGATATCTCTAAGACCATCTTTTCACATGATTACTTTTCCTGGCTTTACTTTTTCCATTGTAACAAGAATAAAACCTTTTTTCTCTCAAGTAATTTTCTAGCCAGTAAGAAACTATTGAATATCTTAGTGAAAGAGTCTTTATATGTCTTCATGTGAGTAGCTTTTTTTCACTAAACTGTTGCATATCCACATACTATAAATGTAATTTGAATTCTTAAGGTTGTCAAAAATGAATAGCTTGCTTCTCCTTACTGTCTGAAATTTATCTGACCAAGTGAAGTTCAGCTTAAAGCACAGATAGGTAATGAAACCAGCTATTGTGCAGGTAAGAAAATCTGTGATTAATTAAGTGGACCACATCTGGATGTGACCACAATCTAATCGTGAGGGGCTGTAAATAGCATCAAAGATTTGTGAGCATTAGGTCTGTGGACAGCAGGAAATATTTGAAAGCCAAAGCAGGATCAAATGTTTGGGTAAAAATTATGGTTATAGCTAACCACAAATCAAGTGAGAGCCATTAGAATGTTGTTTGTTATCCTGTGGTTGAATGTAAATTCTCAGCATTGCTCCTTTGATTCGTAAAGCAAATGAGGGTTAGGCTGCGACCTTGAAGACGTGTGAGACATTGAAGTGAGACAAGCAGGCTCTGCTGCCTTTCTTGTGCTCTGCCTTGGGAGGTTTCCTGGAGCATGAGGTTTACCTCTTGCTCAAGTACAGCAATGGCTCCTCACTGCTGAACAGCCTGTTCAGTTTGTTTGCACTGAAGAACATGCACCACCAAACCCTTCACTGGTGCCTGTACACAGGCAGTGCCTCCTACAGGGAAATCCTTCAAACATGGGCTGTGCTGGCATTTCCCTGCTGTGCTAGTAAAATGGCACATGCTGGCTGGTTCTCTCTGGCAGTCATAACATCTTTATTGGGGTCTCATTTACTACCCTTCACAGACAGAGAAATTAAAGGAATTATGTTTATCTAATTGTAGGAGTTAAGATCATATGTGAAGGTCAAAGATTTTAACAGTAGCCTGAGAAAAGTAGTAGCATTATGCTCAGCTTCTTCACACATTGAGGGGAGAGCCATCCAGCCAATCTCTAGGCAGACTTGCTTAGACTTCAGTGGAAAAAACTCAGAAAAACTAGTGTCCTTCCTAATGGAGAGGAGAGAGACTTACCAAAGGCAAGAAATAAAAGTTGGGGAGAAAATAGCAGAAACTGACTGTCTGGGAGAGGAATCTAAGTCCACTAATGCAAACTGTAGTTCTGAAAGATGAGGAGCCAGAGCTTTCAGGTGCCAAAGCAGTGTGTGCTTCCTTGTTCCTAATCTGCTGTACCTCCTGCCTGGAGGGACAGGATTACATGAGCAGCATGTCTGTGATACCTTAGTGTCAATACCTTCTTGTCAGCTTTCCCACTCTGGATTTCTCCAGCGTGGCTGTTGGACACTGAGGGAGACTCTGAAGGCCTTGTTAAAGTCAAGGCACAGAACATCCATTCCTCTCCGCTCATGTGCTGAACTTGTCAGTGAATCACAAGTTTAGACACAACTTGACCATGGTACGTCCATGATGGTTGATCTCAGTCTTCTTTTTTGGTTTTTTTGGGTTTTTTTGTCCTTCCTACATTTGGAAATTACTTCCATGAGGATTGGCTCTGCAGTCTTCCTGAGGACTGTTAGGGTGACCAACCTGCAACTGAGCCTCAGGTTCTCCTTGCCCTAAATGAAGATGGATGTGGCAGTTCTTTTTAGGCATCACCACCAATCACCATGACCTCATCTGGTCCCAAAGATTTGTGTACATAAAATTTTCTCAGGTGCTTCCTAACTTGATCTTTCTCATTTTCCGAGACTCAGTGGAAGTGATTTCATTTTACACAAAAATTCATGTGAATGAAAAATAACATACATACTTCTGTTTGACACACTTAAATCCAAAAATCTTTTAAATTCATTAGTAAATTTTGCATTGTGAAGGCCATGGAATTGATAGAATTCTGCCCTGTCAAATCTATAAAGAGGCTGACTTCTGTGACTTGGCAAATTTCCAGTTGATGTCAACTTTGAAGTCAGTGAGGATTTCTTTGGAGAAAAGACATGAGGATTTGGATTAAAATAATTTATTTACGATTGATAAATGAAGTCCACCTGGTCACCAGACAAGGAGAACATATGATACAAGAAGAAACAGTTTGAGATTTCTTTTAAATTTCAGTTTAGTAGAACATTTTATTTCATTCCAAAGCAAAAGAAATCCTTGAGTTGACTGAAAAATTTTAAAGAATGTATTACTGGTAACAAAGCAGCAGGAGTTGTTACTCATATGGTAAAGGCTAATTTGAAAAGAAGTGCAATATCAGCTTTGTGTTTAGGTGTAGGAAATTCAATTTTTTTATTGTTTTGCAAAGACCTACATTTTGATTTCACAAGGATTGTAAGTGCCACCTTGTGGACATCATTATTCTTGTATCTAATTATAGGACAGTGGTGAAGTAGAATAATAAAATTTAGTTTCAAAATCTGTGACAGAAATTCATTATGTTTTCTTTGAGGTTTGGGAGATTTTGATTGATTTTCCAATATTGCTATTGATGTGCTGAGGTGGAAGAACACACCACTGCTGGCTTCAATGGCTGTATATAAAGCCAGTACTTGTCTCACTTTGAAGTCCTACTACTTTGTGATATTTGTAGTTCTTGCTGGAATTCCTTTGTTGATCCCTCTCAGATCTTTCTCCTGAGTAAGCTATCAATGGAATACCATGGGAGTGAAAGCCCAGATGTCTGGGGTTCTGACAGGCTCCTTATGTTGTGACCCCCAATGTCCGTGTGTGAAAGATGCTGGATGAAGTGTTCATGCAATGTCAGCAAGTAGCCTGGGTGATTTTTGGGGGTGTGTGGGTTGCAGGGGCTTCTTTGTTGGACATCCTGGCTCTGGGTAGATCAGCTGTGCTGTGTTTGTGAAGGGTTTGGGGAATGTCTTTTCTCCAAAGCATAGGTACAGTGATGCCTGTAACAGCAAGCCCTTAGTTGGGCATTTCTACCCTTTTCACAAATAAAACCAATTTTTTTTTCTGAGGACTACAGAGTTTCTAATTACATGCAGCTGATTTTCTGCTCATTAATAACTTAAAGGTATTGTCATGAGGTACATTAAATATCTGCTGCTTATCTTAAAGCTGTCTCCTAAGGATCTGGGGCTTCCTCACTAGCCAAGTCAAATTCAAGCCTGTACTCCAGAAGTAAATCCCATGTGGTTTGTCTGTTTGCTGCTTAGCTGTCAGCCACTCACAAATTCCTACTTATCTCCAGGCTATACTGAGGCCACAACCAATATCAAAATTCCAGGACATCAAATCTCTTCCTTGGCTTGCTGCTTAAGTATTTTCTGTGTTGTCACAAAACAGAAGCTGATTTATCTCAGATAAGTTGGTTTTTAAACTGTACGAAGAAATGGCCAGCAGTGTTGTTTTTGCAAAAACACAGTTATATCCCTGGTCATCCAGGATTCCTTTAGCATCTCATCTTAGAGAAGCTGTTTTATGGATTGTACAGATCAAGATCAGTTGGTTGGGGCTTGGAACAATCTGCTTTAGAGGAAGGTGTCCCTGCCTATGGCAAAGGGGTTGGAACTGGATCATCTTCAAGGTCCCCTTCCAACCCAAACCATTCTATATTCTAGGAAATAATTTTATTTTAACTATCCTGTCCAGGTGTGTGTTACTGAGTGGGTTGAAGGTTTTCTACTCAATGAACACATGAGTTTCTTCTCTAACTGGCTAGATGTAGTATAAAGATTTCTCACATACTTCTTCTGGTGAGAATAGGCTGAGTGCTCACTTTTAGAGGAGATTGAGACAAGACTATAGAGGAAGTAGTTCTGCTTCTGTAGAAAGCCTATTTTGAATTATAACAAAATCAAAGCTCTCCACCTCTTTCCTGAGCAGCAGCTGTGGGAACTATGTTCAGCTTTTCTTTCAGCTGAGGAGTATGCAGTCAGCATGATCAATGCATTACTGCTTGTGGTGTGTTCTTGGATTTTGCCTGGCAGCATGTAAAAACCTGTTGGCTACCTTGAAAACACCAAGTCTGAGAACCCTTTGGGTTTTATTGCTTTTTTCCATACAGAAGACATTGCTGAAATGCTAATTCACAAAATCATTTCAGAATTGATTCTTCTCTGAAAGTCATGCTGTTCTCAGTTGTTGTGTCCGAAGTCTGCAGTTGTAAGATCTTGGAAAAAGAAATCTTACTTTATTTTGCAGAGCATTGGCTGTGACGACTATCTGGGTTCTGACAAGGTGATTGACAAGTGTGGAATATGTGGAGGGGACAACACTGCTTGCAAAGTTGTGTCTGGAGTTTTCAAACACACGCTAACAAATCTTGGCTACCACAAGATAGTGGAAATTCCTGAAGGAGCTACTAAAATCAACATTACTGAGATGTCAAAGAGCAACAACTATTTGGGTAAGTTGCATCTCAGTGAATGAAGAATGCTTTGTGTGCTCGTGCAGTTGGGTGGAGGTTATGCCAGGAAAGGCCTTCAGAGCAGTGTGAAATCAATGTCAAGAAGAAGAGAGGGAAGAAAAGAAATCATTAAACAGGTGTTTTGATCAGAACTAACTGGCTGTTTTTAATTCTAGATTGATCTTGCATGACAAACACTGTAGACCTGTTACAATCTATTTCCCTGTCTGTCTGACTTGGCTTTAGTTTCTCCTTTTAATCGGTTCCGCTGTGATGTTTCCCTTTCTCACATCATTAACCTTCTCTGATCAGTCAAGAATCCAGCCAAGCAGATGCTTGTGTTTATAAAAGGCTGCTTGAGGAGAAAAGAGCATCTTCTGGTTGCCAAAAAGTTTCAGTTCTTTTCAAGTGAGATAATTTGATATTGAGGAGGTACTCACAGAATCCAAGTTCTTTGTACAGCTGTTTATTCAGAAGCAGGTCCCTCATTCGAAACCATGGAGGATCCTGGAATATTTATAGTAACATAACATCTTAATGTATACTTCTAGATATGTATAGTGGGTTGCAAATTAGAGATTATGTGGAATTTATACCAGATCTATATCAGTCCTGTATGCATTTATGAACTGTGGCATTCCCCACTGTAACCTGTTGTGTTCCTAGGTTTCAAAGCCCTTCGTTTGGCTACATTTGTGCAGGTTTTGTAGGCAATTCTGATGAGTGGACTAGAGAGAAAAGAGTTACTTATGATTTATAAAACCTGCCCCTCACCCTTCAGTTTTCTCTTCACCATCCTTAGATCTGTCTTAAAAATTACCAGTGCAGATGGTAAAATTGGAGCCACCTGAGAACTTCTGTGCTGGCTTGGTGTGGTTATTGCTAGAAACAGTCTGGCTGTACTAGAAGTCCCAAATGCCAGTCCTCTTGTTGGACTGCTGCTTTACCTCCCTTCTGGTGGGAAAAGCATCTCAGCTGCTGCTCAGCTACAAAAAAGGAAGGTGCTCATTATGGAATTGCTTTTCCTCTCTTTTCTACTTTCTTCCCCTTAATTCCTGCTGAAGCTGGAATGAGTTCCACAGAAATGTTGCCTGTAGATGGGAGTTTATTATGGGGATCAGTCTGAACTGGAAAGTGAGTTTTATAATTTTACCAAAAATTTACTTCTAATTTGAAGAAATAGAAAAAGCTACCCACAGTCCAAGAAAGCCAAATGTTCTGAACCTATTGCCTGGGTGGTCTCAGTTCTTACTTGTTTTGGTTTCATCCAAATGGGGTTTTGATACATTATATGCCAGTGTACACCAGCATTTGTTTTTTCATGAGAACAGTTTGTATAGCATCCATCAACACTGACTTAATTGATGATGAACTAAACCAATAATTCTTTCTAAAGAATTTCCATGGATACTTGTACATTTGGTAGAAAATGGGTGAGAACATAGCTGACTTGGCAGTACAGTGGAAGCAGTCACATTACTAATATATAAAATCAAGGAGTTGAATGTAATTTTTCTGTCAGATTTATGTGCCAGCATCTGAAAACAGCTGACAGAAAAACTCCCCTAACTATATTAAAATGTCCTGAGCAACTTGAACATTTTTGTAATGGGCAGGACAGAAAGAGAGTAACATTTTTGTTCAAAAATAACCAGGCTGTTGGCATGTATGGGAAAGTGATAGAGTTTTTCTTTCCCATGCTACTTCTTATCCCCTGAGCTCTTGGTTTATGCTATCATCTTTTCTTTCTTTCTTTCTTTCTTTTTTTGTTTTTATCCATTTCATATGTTTTATTTAAAAGTGCTGGTATGGATTTAATCTGCTAAATTTGCCAGCTCCCTCCCATGTTAGGAATTCTTGAGGATGTAATTCCAGCCTAGAAGGATTCCAGCCACTCTGCTTACATTGTTACACAATAAATTTGGTTTATTGAAGCAGGTGAGTTACACCAGGACAAAAAGGAACATGTTCAAGCAGATCAGAAAGCTGAAACTAAGAGAAAGGCTTATCAAACAGTTTATTGGGCAAGTGAAATGGTAATTATGCAGCTGTTTTTTTTGGTATATTGGTGGTCACAAATTTCTCACTGATAAAATAGCATTCAGAATTCAGCATTTTTATAGTGCACATAACACTGGTGGATCTGGGAAACTTGAAAACTCAGATCAGGCATTTACTGGTTTCTCTATATTTATGGTAATAAGCAGAAGTCTCAAACTTTAAAAATAACAATAAAAAAATTAAATTATCCTTAGGCTGCAGCAGCAACAAGAAAATTAACCCAGCAGCCATTCCTTTAAGGATGTAGTTGAGTGCTTTGCAAAACTGAATTTTCAATACCTTTTTCTGTCATAATCCCATTGTGGCTATCAGAGCTGCTTGTAAGAACCATTCCCTTTTTTTTTCCAAGGAGCATAAGTTGCTTGCTTTTGGTTTTCCTTTCACTTCGTACATTTTAGCTCCTTCAGTGCAAAATTGGAAGTCAGCTCAAGGTCATTAAGATTTTTTTTTAGGAGATGATGGCAGGTGTTCCTAGGTATCAGTTACCCTGTTTTTCTCTGTTTGGGAGATTGTCTTGAGTTCCATGTGGTTTCATTAAGCAGATTTACCAAGCTCCACGCTTTCCTCTAAAGTACTAAGCAAGTGAGTGATCAGGAGTGTTCACAAGGAGGTATTTCTTTAAAATCAGGAGGTGCTGGGGAAAGCAGGCAAGAATATGAGTTTCAAACTCAGCTAGAAATCATCCAAACATTTGAAAGCTTCTCCATACTGCTTTTGTGAACTATTTTGTATAGTGTATTGCTCATTTTGATAAAGCCCTCCTAAAAAGAACAGTTCTGTAGTTTCTGCTGAATATAATTCAGCTTACTGAGTTTTCTCATTTTGAGGACTGCATTTTTGGCTTTTGCACACAAGCTGGAGTGATTCCAGAATAAAATGTTTTAAGTTCTTGCCACTGGAAAACAATAAACTTCTGTTAAAAAGAGAAAGCATGGCAGTGGTATATAAAGCTTTAAAGTGTTTCTAGAATTTCATCTAGGTAGTCAGAATATGCAGATTAAAGGAGATGGGCTAATTGGTTGTTCAGGGAACTTTGTAATTAACTTTTCATAAAATCCCAGTTTGAAATGAATTGAATTTTATGCAACACAAATAGAATATTTTCTTCTCCCCCTGCCCAAGTATTCCAATTCCTTTTAGACTTTCCATTTCTTGTAGATCTTTACTGTAGGAAGAGTGTCAATGTGATAAAGAAAATATTTTAGCAGTCAAGTTGAGAATGGGCTGCAACATTAACTAGTGTGTCTTAGTGAGCCAAAACAGACTAACTAATAGAGCCATGAGGTGTATCTGAAATTCCCCAGGAAACATCTCATGCTGGTTTTCTAGTGTGTGTTTGTTGGGAAAGAAAGCAGTGCAGTTTTGCAGTGCTGTATAACAGCTATTCATAACTATTAATGATGTATTCATCAGGCTGTATATTTACTCTGGTATTTTTTTACAGTTGAGAGAAAAAGCTATGTATTACCAGCTCTGTAAAGTGGAGAGAAGGCTATGGGCTGCCCAGCCCTGAGCTGTGTCAGAATGACTTCTCAAAGTTGTTTTCAGCAGGATTTTCTTACTGGCTCACGTGTAACAGAACCTTTTGGTAACAGAAGTGCTGACCTTGGCCAGACCTTTCCATTGGCAAAGCACTTGTGTCACATGCTAGAGACAAAGGCATACTTTTTATCCCACTGGTAATCATCATCTGGACAGTTCTCATACACTGACATGGGAAACTTGCCACTGAATTAAGTAGGACCATGATACCTTCAGTGGGACCAGCACGTTACAGCACTTGTGCTGCAAAACATGTGGGTTGGAGTATAAATACTTCTGCATCTTTGGGATTGGGATTTGAGATAATAGCAGAATTTAAAGCCAGATAACACAGATCTGAAGTGATTATTTGGAATGTGCTTTTTATGCATATTGTGACTTGAGAACCTAATTGAAAGAAGCTGGTTGCTATCCATATCCACAGCCTCAGCTGCAAGGCACTCTGTTGGGAAGGAGGTGTCAGCAGCTCAAATTAAAATTTAGCTTAATACAGAATTGAACAACACAGTGCTTGAAAATGTGTTAGTTTTGAAATACACTGCATAATGAACTTTAATGGAGGTAATGTGGTAATGTCTGTACTCAAGGAACAGGTTGTTTCTGGGGCAGTTGTCTGAGTGTGGAGTCCTGTGGGTTTGGGGTTGAGTGAGGAGAAGGTGGCAGACACTGCCTGCCATTGCAGGGCTCTGGGGTTCTGTCCAAGGGAAGGTGGATCATTCCCAGTGCAAGTCTCCTAACATTTTCTTTCTTACCTGAATGCTCTTTTCTACAAAGATGTTTGTTTCACAATGGACTTATTTAATTGCTGATTGTAAAGCTCATTACAGTTCATTCAGGGAATATATTGTGTGTTTCAGTTTTGTTTTTCATGGAGTTAAGTCACTTCTGCCAGTAAATGAGATAGAGACATCTTTGGATCTAATCCATTTTCCCTGCTTTCTGTAAAATAATACTCTGCTATTTCTAGCATCTTCTATTAGCACATGCCAGTATACACAATTAGTGATTAAAATAAAAGTTGCAGATTAATACTTTTTTAAACTAAGGTCCAAGGGATGTTAATAGCACTATTGTGAATATTGGTGTGCCTGAACAGGAATATGACTTAAGGGATTTGTTGTATGAAAACAACAGGGCCTGATACTAATGGGGCTGTGAAAAGAAATGGGGCTCTGAAAACCATTTTTATTCAGTGTTCTCTGTAGCAGATAACATTCAAACAATACATCTCATGATGAAAGACTGTTAGCAACTCTTGAACTTAAAATAACATTTGGAAGTCACTTTAGAGATTCGAAATTACAGCAAATAAAGGCGTTAGATTAGAACACTGGCAGGAATTTAGAAGATAAACATTGCAAGAGGCACTGCTGTGATCATGTGAAGAGCTTTATAAT